CTGTGTCATTGCTGTTTGTGCGTCTTACATGCTCACAACGTTTTACCTCATGAGCATTTGCCTCACTCCGCTTGATGTCCCACCAGTCCGGATGCACCCCTGCTAGCTTTCGTCACCTACCCTCGGCCTCAAGTATTTTGCTATTGGGGTCTCCAGCTGGGCTAATTCTGAATAATATATATATATAAGATATCATTTGGAATATTAATCTTATTGCAGGTATGCTATACCCCCCCTTCAGCTGCTCGTGGAATATTTTTCTGATGGTGAGAAATGTTGACATTGATTGAATCATGGGCAATCACCAAATATAATATACCCAGGAACATTCATTATGAAAGCACCATGAAACATGAGATATGATGTATTTCTGGGCGTTTGACATTTGATTCGACACTCTGTGAGACATTTGGAAGGCGAAACTGAATGGGACTGCTCGCATTCGATGTTTTGTGAGACTCGTTTCACTGGCCGGCGCCGGAGAAATTGTTTGTTTGACGTCCAAGCACTTTGGATGATTAACTATGCTTACTATTCCAGGACGTTCCGACCTCTCAGAATAATTTTTCACTACCACCTATAAGGAATATTTTAAGCAATATTCCTGCGGGTATCCACGGTATAGGGGTATCTAACCCCATCCTCCGTATGAGCGCACTCTGACGCAGACAGATGCGCAGCTTTTGGTTGTTTCTAGTTTTTATTTTTAATATACTACACATTAATTAAGTAATATAACGAATTAAAAATATGTGGCAATGTAGCTTGTCTATCCAGTCTAAAGCCAACTATTATATTCCAAATTAATCAGTTAGTTATAGCAGATTTTCTTAGGAAAACCACGGATCTGCACTGCCACAGGTGCACAAGGAACCAAGGTGGGCCGGTTGCGATTGGTTGGGATTGGGAGCTGGGGGAAGCAGATTGATATTTTGTGCCACGATGCCAAAGATGGCGCCATGTTTAAGTTGTCATGAAATTGGTTGTTGCTACCAGACGCGTGGTCTGTTGCCATGCCGGATGGGGGATGTTTTTTTCTCCGTGAACCCTCCAGGGTCGATCGTGACCTGATCCCACGTGCCAGGGGCCACCGAACTCATGCAACGCCTCCGCCACCCAAGAAGGAGAGGTTGGCTTTGCGAAGTTCTTTGCCTTGACGTAGTGGCGATGACAGATACCCATCTCTTGATCATGGTGTCCAATCATTTGTGATGAAACATGTGGGAAAAAAACAAAGACACCAGTTGGAACCAATTGGTTGGTCATGGCGTATCGGAACCATTCTTTTGACCCAGGAAACATACTGGCACATCTTGCAACATGAAACATGAATACATTGTTAAGTTAACACAATTTGTTTTCAAACTCCAGGAAACGTAACTATATAACTTTCTGTATTTTGAATCAACCTTTGGAAACCTTGTCGTTTCTTCAGAAACCACCGAAACAGGAGGAGCCTGCGGCCCCTGCGCCTTTGAGCCAAAACCCAGAGGTGGGAGCATGCACCATTTCTTTCGGCATTTCGGACGCTGTTCGACTGATTTCTGAATAATTGCATGTGAAACACTTCTGAGTCCTTAGATTCATCCGACTTTTGAGTTGCAGAGAAGCATTTGTGTAGAATTGTAGCTTGATGGTCAAGGCCTGAGATCACAGTTGGATCATGTTGGATCTGACCCTACAACGAATTACAACGATCACTCGATCTCCACCGGGTCCGAGCTGTCGCCCAGGTGCAAATCATCTTGATGGAGTTGAATGGGCAGTGCAGCTGGCATGTCCACAGATTTCTTCGCCAAACATCCGCCCCAACCGCCAACTCATCCGCTGGCCAGTGCGCACAGTCCACTCCTTTTGACCACAGACCCCGCTCCAAACGGGGTTTCATTCTTGGCCGAACGCAGGCTGGAAGGGACAAGAAAAGAGGACATTGCCTCCAGAAAGAAGACCTTCAAGTCCCGAGCCTAGTGGCTTCTTGTGGCGATGGGCAGAAGGCCCCACGACTTGCGATCCAAGCCGCCCCTCACAGCCCTTCCACTTGTGGGGTACTGGCGGGAAAGACAGAAGGCCCCAGAAAAACCCTGACATACTTTTGCGTTTTTCCTGTCGTATTTTCAATGGCAAGCAGAGCTTTTGGTGGTCGATGTGCTTGCACTTTATAAAGCTCCCAGCGAGGTTCAGTTGCCTCAAGTGGCATCCTGACAAGAACGCGGACAACCTTGAGGTCGCCACAGAGGCGGACGCGGCGGACGGGCTCATTTAAATCTCAAATATTTCGGTGGCCAGCCCTCCTTTTCTTTGAAGTTGGTCCTCTCATTCTGTGTCATTTCTGAGAACAGGCCGCCTTCTCGTTTTGGAGGGAACTCATTTTGGTCGACAAATGATGGCATCTCGTGAACTCATTCAGCATGAAAACAACTTGCTAGGAAATTCACCGAACCTTTTTGTTAGACGAGCTCATGAGCTCATGCACAAGCCTGCATGTAATTCCCGGCCAATTGATTGCACATGCCTTATAGCAGCTAGCAATGTTTCGTGCGTGCGGGTGCACGAGCAGCTGTACCGACTCCACCATGTTACCATGTGTGTGTGTTTTTCTTCGCACCGAGAGCGAATTGTGTTTCACCATGCAAACAAGCTTTACAGTAAACATATGGCAAAGGGGTTTATCTCAGAACCTCATAAACCAAGCAACACATTGCAAAATATTGATGACAAACCATCCATTCGAGACAGACCCAGGTACACTTTGGGTAGACTGGGTTGCTGTCAGCACCTTTGTTGGTTCGACGGGCTCTGGTCTGTCAGCCCCGGTCTGGGTTTGCGCTAGGCTTTCAACCATTACCAATGCAAGGAATGCCACCAATCCTTCCCTCCAACTATGGCTGAAAATCCGTTGCACCAAGTTCCCAAGACCTCCCTCAGACATGGAAGACTCAAACTTGTGAGTCCCTGCATCCATAGATCGCTCTGCTTATTTGCTGCAGATATGAATGGTGTGTGTGTGTATATCAGCCGAACATTGGAGCTGCAAAGAACACCCCTGCCCACCCAGCCTCGGGCGATGAACCCGTGACCGTTGTTCCAAGGTGCTTTCAAGTCTATGAATGAACATTCGGACTTCCATGGACTTCCAACAAGCAAAACATGTGTGAAAGTTAATCCAGGCACAGACAGCCCAGTTTGACCTCACTTGGCGGTCGTCCGGTGTCGGATCATTCTTGGGGGATGTCGGACAGGTCTTTCAGTGGCTTCAGTCCCAGAGGGATTGGTATCTCAAAGAGTGAGCGGGAGAGGCCGCGAGGTCCTCCGGGGGGGGCCGCGAATTTGACGCCACCTGGGAGTTTTTTTTTGTTTCTCAGCGTTTTTCAGCATTTCTCAGCAAGGTGTGTGAAGTCCACGGTGAACACATTTGATGTGGAAGACCAGGCAACGTGATCTGGTGCACCCAAATGTGGTAAGATACCGAACTAGAGGTACATCAGCACATGCAAGCTTTGGCGCTGCAGGGTCAGGAATTGGAAAGACAGATGTAGAGTTTTGGAGGAAGCCATGCCAGATGTGGAAATCAGTAGTTGAGCCTTCTAAGACTATTGGAGGGACTCATGGTTCCAGGTGCCTTTTGGTCAAGACTGTCAGAGAAGCTCTCCCCAAATGGGGATTCGTCAGAGTGGGAAAGCAACGGTGCATCAGAAGATATGCAACAATTTGCAAGGTCTGCAGTGTGTTCTGACATTGGCACGGCTCAGGCCTGAAGAATCCCTTCTTCTTCCCCATGGCTCAGACCCGACCTTCCCTATGACCTGGGAAGTCACCACGACGCTCCAAAAATGTCCAGAACAATCATCGAAGATTAAAGTTCCTAGACCTGCTGGGGAGTTTGTAAAGTATATACCACACATCATCATCGCATACATATATGTAATACATATCTATATCCCATTTAACATATATATATATATATATGTGCACAGTATATACATACACGCAATATATGTATATACAGTATATACATACCAGTATATACATACATACATACATACATACATACATACATACATACATA